ATAAGTGGCACCAGAACAAGGACCATAAAGAGGAAAATTTAGGAAGGGTTTTAAAATATTAACCAGGTAAGTAATCTTCATTACAGGGTAATGGGACAAGCCAAATTGTCTCTGTACCTTGCTATGCTAAAACATTCAATAAAAACTTATTGGCTTCACGCTTATTTTTCTGATTTAGAAATGTGTGTGGAACTAATTAAGCCTTATAATTCTTCGGTTTCCAGAAGGCACATAAGATATAGATACTTCATAAAGAATTAAAGCTAATGTTGAAAAAGCTGTGAGAAAGTACCTGTCTGTTTCTGGTCTATATGGTTTATGAGTTTCACTATTTTCAAAGAAAAGAAAATAAAAATAACTGGGCACTATGTCAAAATAGAAACTAGTGGTGCTGCACAAGTAACGACCATGTATAAAAAAAGAAAATATTTGGATTCTTTGTCAATGGGATCAGTAGTTATATAGCCCTTGCTCTAGTTCTAAAATTGCTGATGGAACTAAACGTACCTCATGATCCAATGAAAAAGGATTTTTTGAGAAGAATAAACCCTAACTATCCATTTAAAGTTTTATTATTGGATACTTATCAATATCATACAGGCATTTTAGCTCAAGATATATCTCCCCTTGAATGGATTTAAACAAAGCATATATTTTCTAAAACAACGTGTTATGAAGAAATGTTACTCTATGGAATTCAACAATGATGTCTTAATTTGTAGATTGTTCTGCTGGATTCCCAGCAACCACATGGTGGCTCACAACCATCTGTATGGAGATCTGGCGTCCTCTTCTGATGCGTGGGCATACATCGATCAAGACAGAATGCTGTACACATAATATATAATTAAATCTTCAAAAAAATATTGTAGCTTTCAATCCTTCACCTGATGCATTAACTATTTTTACTGATGGTTGAAAAACTAAGTGTGTACTGAACAGAATTTAAGTAATGGGTAGAAATTACAGATTACTCTTCCATACAACAAAATTAATTGTATGCTGTTGTTAAAGCCAAGTGAGATTTAACTCAATAATTAAATATTGTAGGTGATTCAGCTTATACTGTAGTAACTGTACAAAGTACGTTTAATGCCATACTTCATTACAGTAAGCAATCTTTGTTAACTTTGTTTAAATTTGTATTAAATCTTAATCAAAATAAAAATTCTCTTACTCATGTACGAAAAAAAAAATTTGCTTGGATATCTTACATTTGAAAATGATCACGTGATAAATTAGTACCTTTTCCTCAACAATAATGTACATGTACAACATAAAATTCCATTTCAAAAAGCTCAATCTTTCAATGATCACTTACATGATCACTTCAATGATGACTTACATGGGACTTTTGCTAAATCATAACCCTTGAACAGTGCACAAATTTTTGATGACAAATTGGCAGGATTATATAATAAAGGATTCTTATAAAGCATTCTTCATACCTCCAGTGTTATGATTATCATAATCATGCTCATACTTTTTATGTTTGATTATGAATCAGTTTTATATTTGACTAAACATAATAATTATAAACTTTATGTTTAAAACTCATTTTTAATTCAAATAAAATTAAAAAAAATATGAAATTATGGAGACATAGAACTGGCTCAAAGTGCAGGCTCCTCCTGGGGCAGATGAGATGAATCTCGTAAACAGTTGTTTTGCAAACCAAGCATAGATGAAAGCAAACCTTCTCTGCCCATTTTTCAAATGTTATGTCTGAATCAGAACCCGGGATTAATGGTTCTTTAATGGAATGGACTTTGAGCTCAGTTCTTCACACTCCACCAGTGATAAAAAGAGTGCTTTGCTTTTGCATTGTTTTTGCCTTGTTTCTATGTAATTCTTTTAATTCTTATCAGTGTTATTAATTGAGGTATTGTTTCTGGCATGGAGAGGCAAGAGTTTCTCATGACCATGTATAGGAGTAAGGGGGGGAGGGGTTCAGAGTTAAGGTACTGCTTTTTACTCTGTATAATAGGACATATTAAATGAATCTTACTATACTTTTGTTCATACTCTTCATGTGTGTACTGATTTGCATGAGACACATACCCAGGGTCCGTGAAACAATAGATGGATACAGGGTAACACTCACCAAAGTTAAAGACATCTACAAAATTAACCTTTAGGTTTTGGTGATAGAAATTGAAGAATAAACCAGGAAATGGAAAGATCTGCCCATGTTCTTAGATAGAGAGGATAAACATAATAAAAACGGCAATCTGTCAAAAAGCAATATATAAATTAAATGGAATCCATACAAAAACACAAACAAATTATTAATGTCATTTTAAACAGCAATAATCAATATCAAAAAAACAAGGATAGCCAAAAGAATCCTGTACAGGAAAGTAACTCCCAGAGGCATGACAATCCATCAACCTCCATTACAGAGATACAGTAATGAAAACAGCTTGGTATTGGCATAAAAGCAGAGAATTGACCACTGGAATCAAATCAGAGATGCAGATAGTAATCCACACAGAAGTTCAGCTGACTTTTGACAAAGAAGGTAAAATTATACACTGAAATAAAGATAGAATCTACAACAAATGGTGCTGGCATAACTGTATGTCAACATGTAGAGGAATGAAACCAGATACATATCCATCAACATGCAAAAAACTAATGTCCAAAGGAATCTCCAAAATATATAGAGATCAAGAAATTAGAAATCAAAAGATAAAAATTAAAAATTACATATAACACAACTAAAAATGGAGTACAAAACTAAACAGATGTCTCAACAGAAGAATGGCTGAAGCTATAGCCATACTGGGAAGGAAACTAGGCCCTCTGAATGTGGTTGACAGTGGTATGTTTTGAGCAGAATGAGGGGCCACTGGCAGTGGCACCAGGATTTATCTCTCCTGCTTGTACTGGCTTTTTGTGAAGCTATTCTCATTGAATGGACACCTTGTTCAACTGACATAGAGAAGGGAGTTCCATGGACTTACCAAAAGCAATGTGCCTTACCTTCTCTGATGACTGGATGGATGTTAGGGAGGCTGCCTGTCAGTTCCCAGATGCTCAGACCTAAATAATAAAACAGAAACACTATTACTTGGAATAATCACTGGATAATAGCTTAAGATATTATCATTCAGTTCGTCTTAATAACTAAACCTTGTTTCCCTCCATAATTATCATTAACGAAAATAACCCATGACTAACCAACCCAATCAAACGACTACCATTAGGAAGCATCTTAGCAGGATTCTTCATCTCATACAACATGCAACCCACAACTGTACAAGTAATAACCATACCTTGATACCTAAAAACTGCTGTAATAGTTCTATTGTAGGTTTTGCAATCGCACTAGACCTTAACAACTTAAGCAACAACCTTCCACCAAAAAAACCATTACCTACAAACTCATTCTCAACTTACCTAGGCTACGTATCAACAATCATACACTGACTATTACCCATAAAAAACACTCAACACAAGCTTTAAAACAGCCCTAACCATACCAGACCTCATCTGGCTAAAAAAAGCTATTCCACCACCCACACACTCACCTCCTCTGCTATAAGTAGCCAAAAAGGAATGGTAAAAGTATGTTTCCTCTCATTCCTAATCACACTAGATTGCATCCCAATAATTCCACTCTCCTAATTTACACGAGTGATCTCAATAATAATAAACACCCCCATAAGTAAAGTTCAAGCAGAAACAACCATCAATCATGCAGACCACCCCTTCACCCATAAATCTCAACCCGTCAAAATCATTAACTGACCATCCCCCTATACTATTGAACTCTAACATCACATCTATACCCTCATAATAATCAGTTACAAATAACCTACCTACCTCCATAAAAATACTTATTAATATAATCACAATTGTCAATCAGATACCTCCCAAATAGATTAAAAACACCAACAAACCTAAAAATGAATCCCCAATCTCCAAAATCGCTAAACAACCTGAGCACCCACTAACAATTAAACATAACAAAACATAAAAAGGTGAAGGTCTCAAAGAAGTGCGTAAACAACCTAACGCAAAACACTGAACTTAAAAAATAAATTATGTCGCTCTTTCCTTTCTGCCACCGCCATGCCATCCAGACTGAGGAAGACCGTGAGCCACGGCCATGGCCTCATCGGTAAACACCGCAAGCATCCAGGAGGATGCGGGAACGCTGGTGGCATGCATCATCACAGGATCAACTTCGACAAATATCATCCAGTTTACTTTGGGAAAGTTGGAATGAGGCATTACCACTTAAAGAGGAACCAGAGCTTCTGCCCGACTGTCAACCTGGATAAACTGTGGAGTGAGCAGACCCGAGTCAACGCTGCCAAGAACAAGACCGGAGTTGCTCCCATTATTGATGTCGTGCGATCGGGCTACTACAAAGTTCTGGCGAAGGGAAAGCTCCCTAAGCAGCCTGTCATTGTGAAAGCCAAATTTTTCAGCAGAAGAGCTGAAGAGAAGATAAAGGGTGTTGGAGGTGCCTGTGTTCTGGTGGCTTGAAGCCACTCAGGGAGGCCAATTAAATGCTAACACTTTAAAAAAAAAATAAATTATGTCATAATTTCTACATAGAACTTAACTATGACCAATAACATGAAAAATCACCGTTCTTATTGAACTACAGAAACACCTAATGATAATCATCTGAAAAAAGCACCCAATGAGTGATCATGTGCGTCCTTTGGGTGAGTGAATTAGCATTATTTGTTGAATAATAAATTTGATAATAAGTACTTAACAATGGGCAAGTCAACCAGACAAAAATTTATAAGAGAAATAAGAGATGTAATGAATGAATAAGACATCTATAGAATATCCCACCCAAAGAAGAAAGATCATACCATCTTCTCAGCACCTGAAAAAAAATTCTATAAAAGTGAACACACAATGTGTAACACAGCAAACATACACAGAAAACCAAAAAATTGGAGTTACACACGGTATTCTATCAGATCACCACGGTTTAAAATTAGAACTACTGAACCAACCATCGGGTCAAGGTAAAATAAATTAAAAACTCACTAAAATGCAAAAAAAAAAAAAAAAAAATGAAGGAACATTATACCCAAACCTATGGAACACTATGAAAGCAGTGCTAAGAGGAAAGTTCATAGCTCATACAGAAAGCTCACACTACTGACTTAACAACACATATGAATGCTACAGAACAAAAAAAGCAGTCATGCCCAGAAGGAGTAGAACACAGAAAATAATCTAATTGAAGGCTAAAATAAATTATATAGAAACAAAAAAATACAATGAATCAATGAGACAAAGAGCAGGCTATTTGAAAAAATAAACAAGACAAACAAACCCTTATGCAAAATAATAAAAAAAAGATGAGAGAGAACTTCCAAACTAACACAATCAGAAAAAAAAAGGGATACATAACAACAGATACTATGGAAATCCACAAAATCCTTACAGCATACCACAGAAACCTGTACTTCACAAAATTGGGAAACATAAAAGAAATGGACAATTTTTTGGCTAGGTACCATTTACCTAAATCTAATAAAGCCTAGGTGAACAACTAAAATAGGCATATACTCTTTAATGAAATAGAAGCTCTAATCAAAGGCAAACAATATATCCCGGGGCCAAATGGTTTTAATGAATTCTATCAGAACTTCCTATACTCCTCTAAATGTTGCACATAATATAACCAGAAGGAACATTGCCAGAAATCTTTTTGAGACTAGAGTAAGTTTGATAACAAACCACACAAAGACTCAATCGAGAAAGAATTACAAAGCAATCTCACTAATGAACATGAACGCAAAAATACTCAATGAAATGATGGCAAACCGAATCCAGGAATACATTTTAAAAACCTTGATGATCAATTGAGATTCATGCCAGAGATGCAGGGATGATACAACAGTCATAAATGCATTAATGTATTACATCATGTAAATAAACTTAAAGAAAAACTACAGATGAACAACCTATTAAATATTAAAATAGGCACAAATCGTACTTGTCCTCAAAGACTCTCAGCATAGTCCATTAATCATACCTAGGATAATGGTACTGAAAATTAAGAAATAGCATAACCAATATGTACAGATTTTACATATTATAAATTCAAACATCAGGAATATTTTGGAAAATTGTTGAGTAAATTTGGCAAAATACTTCAATATAAATGAGTCAATTGGGGCACATATAGTTAACTTAGTAACAATTGTTCTGAATTATCACCACTTGTGATTTGCTTAGTGTTACCGGGATGAATCAAGCCAAGAATAAGAAGTTAACAGGAAGCCATTTTCTGACATTGATTGCCTTCTACACAGCCGCTACTGCAATACAGATCCAAATTTGGAAGAGCATAGCTGCCTCAAAACCTGTTCAGGTTTTTAATGGCTCTTTTGTTGGTACAGCAGTACCCGCTTCTACTTATTCATTTACCTCACTCAGAAATACTAATGTTACTACCTGTGTACCACTAATATATGTATTTTTAGTTGGAAGCATCACTTTCAATACTGAAATTAGTAGTTATGATTTTCAATTGTATTCATGTATTAATTCCTGTTTAGTTTAATCCTCATCATCCCTCATGATACTACAGCAACATACACATATTTGGCTGTCTGTAAATCTAGGTCAGTCTTGGGCTCAAAATCCTCTAGATCATAATCTTGTAGAATTCTTTAATAAGATATTGAAAAGAACAAAGTGCATGTTAGAATTAGTAATAGCAGTAATTCATAACCTTATTGCTGTTGCTTCTGTGTCAGGTGGGGCAACGGTATAAAGATTCTCAGGAACTGGACTCAGCAAGCTCAAATAGATACTCAACTTCAGGCAGAGATTGATGTGCTTAAGAAATCTGTGGGATGTTTGGGAAAGAAATATTCATCTGTGCAAAGACACATTACTTTGATTTGTGATTGGAATTCGACCACTTTTGGCATTAGTGATTAAGCTTATAGTGAATTTTTAAAGGAATGGAAGGTTATTCATGCTTATCTTTTGGGCAATGCCACTCCTTGATCTCTCATTGATCATTTACATGATGCTATAGAATTTAGTTTTCCTAATCATTTCCTGATTCAGATGCCTCTACCACTGCACACATTTCTGATGACAAAGTGACAGGACAATATGGACAAATTGTATGCTAGGGATTTGTAGAAAGTATTCCTCATTCCTCTGGTGGCATGCTTCTTGTAAACATTGTTGTGCTCTTCTAGTTTTGATTATGTATCAGTTACTTTCAAACAAATGCTGAAAATTTACATACTTTATGAATAAAAATCCAATTACTGAAAAAATTTAAAAGTAGGAAATTATGGAGGCACAAACTAGCTTAGAGTGCAGGCTCCTCGTGGGACAGATAAGACAAAGTTGGGAAATGGTTGCATGAGAAAACAAGCATAGATGAAAGCCAACTCTGCCTATTTCTCAAATGTTCTCTCAGAATCTATACCATGGTTAAAGATTTGGTTTTTGAACTCAGTTGCTCACTCTACAAAGGAGTGCTTTGCTTATGTACAGTTTTTGCATTGTATCTATGTACTTGTTTTCACTTTTATTAATGATTAATTGAGGTATTTTTTTTCTGGGAAGGAGAGGCAAGAGCTTCTCATGAAAACGTAGGTGAGTACAGAAATGTTTCAGAGTTGAGATATTTCTTAATATGTATAAAAAGCAATACTAAATGAATCTTATTGTGCAGTTGTTCATACTATGCATCCCTGTGTACTGATTTACAAGACAACCATACCAAGGGAACACAACGCACCAGATGTTGAAAAGCGTGACCAGAACAGGGACCATAGTGACCAGAACAGGGACCATAAAGAGTAAAAGTTAGGAAGGGTTTTTTCTTTTTTTAAAAAAAATTTTTTTTATTTATTATGTCTACTGCATTTATTCCATGCCCGCAAGCCAGAAGGGAGTGCTAGGTCTCATCACAGATGGCTGTGAGGCACCATGTGGTTGCTGGGAATTGAACTCAGGACCTCTGGAAGAGCAATCAGTGCTCTTAACCACTGGGCCATCTCTCCAGCCCCTAGATGTTGACTCTTTAGTGCTGTGCTGCATTTCTTGTTTCCCCAGCTCTCGTATTTTCTCCAGTTGCCTGTTTCGAGACTTTTTTTCTTTTCATCCACAAACTGTGAAGACCTGGTGACTGCCCTTCCAAAATGTCAGTTTGATTTCCCTGAGACAGTGGACACTTCCGCTGATTCAACACGAGATGGCGACCTGCGTCCACCTTTGACTCAGGTTCCCAGCCTGGGGCATAGTGGCTGACACCTGAAGTCTCAGCACTCTAAGGTTGAAACAGTAGGATGGCCACCAGTTTGAGGCTATCTTGAGCTTTCCCCCCTGGTTCTTTAGCATATATGTCTGGCAAGATTGACTTTTTCCTGGGGCTCTTAGCACACCTTCTCTATCTCTGAGACGATTCTTAGGCTTGAATTCTCTACAGTGAGACAACTATGAATCCTGTTCTGTTTGATGGTTGACCTCTGGCCCCCTCACCTTTGAAACTGAGTGCTTGTGAGGAGAGATAGCTGGACCTTAAGTGCTCTTGGCTTGAAACTACCGTTTTCTCTGCAGTGATAAGGGACAGAGAACAACTCTCCTGTCACCTACAGCACCCTGAAGAGACAGGCCCCCTAAATGTTTTAGGGACCTCAAATCAGGAAAACCCAAGATTTATGGCTTCAGAAAATAATTCCAGAGCTAGGTAGTAAGAAGCAGAATTGGAGGCTTATTAAAAATATTAGGAGGTTAAGCATGGTGGTGCACACCTTTAATCCTAACGCTTGAGAGGCAGAGGTAGGTGAATCCCTGTTGAGTTGAGACCAGCCTGGTCTACAAAATGAGTTCAAGGACAGCCAAAGATGCACAGAGGAACTATGTATTGGAAACACAAACACACACACACACACACAAAATACTAAGAGGAGCATAGATGGAAGTTTGTCTTTCCCAGTCCTGCAGCTGTTCAGTCTCAAAGCACACAGAAGCTTATATAAATTATAAATTGCTTGGCCTAGCAAACAATTTATAATTAATATTATAAATATTATACAATATAAATAATATAATTAATTAATATAACTAATTTTTTGAGCTAGGATCTCTGTTTAGACCTGGCTGGCCTCAAACTCGCACAGATCTACCAGCATCTGCCTCCCAAATGCTGGAATTAAAGGTGTGCACCATTGTGCCCAACCTTTGGGTTTTGTTGTTTGTTTTCAAGACAGGCTTTGCTTGCACATAGCTACAGCTGTCCTGGAACTCACTCTATGGACCAGAGTGATCTTGATCTCACAGAGATCCAGTTCCTCAGCCTCTGCCTCCCGGCTGAGATTAAAAGTATCTGTCACCGTACCTGGCTTCAGTTTTTGTTTTTAATTATTAAGAATTGCATTTGCTGTGTGGTGGTGGTGCGTGCCTTTAATCCCAGAATTTGGGCAGAGGCAGGCCCGATTTCTGAGTTCTGAGTTTGAGGCATACCTAGTCTCCAGAGAGAATTACAGGACAGTGAGGGCTTCACAAGGAAGCCATG